AACTTGTAAATACTTAAATGTGCATAAATCCAGTTTTCACTTTGAAAAACATCCTTCAGGGAGGATTGTGGTTGTTTCAGTCTCAGAGGGACTGTAGAATCCATTACTTCAATTGCATCAAGAGGTCCTTCGTCAAGCACTCCTTTTTTTCCAGATTTAGACCAAATGTAACACTACTTATTTTGGCAGGAATGTTTCCTATTTTAAATTGGAGTCCTCAGGAAAAGACCTAGACATCAGGAATCAGCTTTTCAACTTGCATCAATGTGTCAGCTCAGCTAAAATTTGACAGATATCTGACTTTCTGTGCTAGCAGATGACCTTGCATGCAATGTTTGTCATTTTTCTTTTAAGAGGTGTATGTTTGGTGGCCAAAAATGCCACCAATTTGGCATCATTAAGTTAACAGTCCTGTTTAATTTTAAGTAATAATAATTAAAAAAAAAAAAAAGTTTCTGGATCGTGGGTATAGTTTCCTTTTGTAGCAACTTGCTGAGAACCTCAGAATCAATTTAATAGCAGTTTTGTTTTGCAGACTCCAGATAAATCCAGATGCATTTTGTTTTCCAACTGCTGAGCCAAAGAAATCTACTGTAAAAGGAAGAAAGAAAATTATCATTTATAACTCTGATTTACTCTTGATAATTAGGTATTACCATCATTCAAATTAAATATCCATGGTAAAAATAATGAAAGATCATGGGCAAAAGACCTAATCTGTGCCAGCTACGAAAAATGAAAGATGAACAATGTAAGGTCTGAAGAGAATAGAAAGAAATCTCCATTTCTCAGTACCATTGGTTTAAGTGCAGATATTCTGCAAGTGGAGGTGTTCTGCGGGATTACATCATGTGGGACTGTCTCCTACAAGTCCGATTTTCTTTATACAAAAGGTAATAAAAATTACATTTTCTCCTGGTGATAGAAATGAAAGACAGAAGCTCTCTCTAAAGGTTTGCTATTTGAGTTCTGATTTTGACAGCTGTGTCTATGAAACCTTATTTCATTGATGTTCATAATGTATGGCTCCATCTATCCGTCCTCCTTTAAAGGTCTTATTTGTTGTCCTAAGCAATAAACCAAAATGCCATGAACAATACTGTGGCCACAATCACAAAATGAAAATGTAAGCAAGCCACAAAATGACTTGAAAAAGAGTTCAGCTTCAGCCATCAAGAAGTATCTGCAAATAGCATATTTTAAGGTGGTTACAGGAAGCAGCCTGTGAGACTCTGGAACATTTTAGCTACTTAAAATTTAAAGCACTACTACAGTAATGAAGTGTTTTCAGATGTGGGAGTATTTTATAGAAGCACTGTGAAAAGAACAGAAATTTCTGGTTTAATAGCATGTAGGATATGGAAACAAGAATTCGGAAAGTGGGAAAATTGGTGTTAAAACCTTGCAGCTGAATACTTAACCTAAGCGTTTAAGCTCTTCCTTTTTGAAATACAGATGTATCTATATATGTCAGGATCACGAGCTGGAAGAATTGTGTGTATTACATCAGAAAAGTCGCTGTGTCATCTTTTATTTATATGTTTCAGATCCGGTATAAACCCAAAAGTGGGAGAAGCGATCGCTTGCAACGTTATCAATTTAAAATATAGGCGGACGCTCATTGCAGGAGAACGATTCTACGATTCCATGACTTTCCTTTCTGTCCAGCAGCTCCTGGCTGTCACTTCGTGCTGTCCACACCACTGTCCCAGCGACTGTGTGCCCCTCCGCCCCCCCCCCCCCTCCTTCCTCCTCCTTCTCCTCCTCCTCCTCCGCCCGGCCGAAGTGAGGGAGCGTGGTGGAGCGTCCCAGCAGAAGGAGAGGCTGCAGTGCCGTTATCTTTCCCCATCTCTTCCGTCTGGCTCCGGTGGGCTTCCCTCTCAGGGTGAAACACAAGGAGGAGAGTAACAGAGTGCTTCCTCTTGCTGATGTTTGCTTGTTATTCCAGCTAATTTGCTCCGAGAGGAGAAATAAACTGCACTTTCAGCTGCATCATTAATTCCTGTCTTTTCAGGCCAAGGGCACAACTCCAAGCTTCATTAAAAATAACACCAATAATAATAGAATTAGGGAAAACTTCGTCTTTTTCTTTGTTAATTAAAAGAAATCCCATCTCCCCCTCCCCGGCTCACCCCACCCGCGGCTGACTGACAAAGTGAGCAGAATCCGTGTTCTCACACCGCCGGGTATCTATTACATGAGAACTTTCTTCTGGCGCCAGGAGGTATTTGGAGAGTTTGCCTGCTTATTCCGCAGGGAAACCGCTGCGAGCAGGGGATACCTGAGCAACGCCCCGGGCCAAACCGCGGGGAGAGCAGCGAGCCCGTCGTCAGGTCTCGTTGTTGTCTCCACCGTATTGCTGCGCAGCAAATGCTGGAGCAGAGGGGCTGCACCCTGTGTCCCAGCCCTTTCCCTGCTCTTCCCCAGCGGGGCAGCCCCGGAGCCGCTGCCGGTGGGCGGAGGGGGCGGAGAGGCGATGCTCACCTCGGCGCTGCTCAGGAAAGCGCTCCTCGGAAAGTCCTCGCTGCTGGGCAAAAGAAAGTCTAGCAAACACACTTCCCCCCCCCCCCGTCCCCCCTGCCTAAGGGCATTGTTATTGTCTCCCCTTCCCAGGTGTCTCTCCCGGGGGCTCTCAGCCACGCAGAGGTGCTCTCTTGCTTTAGATGGCATAAAACAAAGGCTGTCACTCATCCACCTGCTGCCGCACCGCCGGCAGCACCCAAAGACCCTTCGCGCAGGAGCCTCGTGTGCCCCTCACGCATCCCTTTTCCCTCTGCGGAAAGATCGAGGCTGAGATGTTTGCCAGACTCCTTTCCCCCCGCCCTCCAACCCCCTCGCAGCCATTCCGCCTTTCTCACCGCCGCGAGCAAAGGAATAAAAGCGCCCTTCTTACGTCGCGGCCTTTCCGAAAGTGTGAGTGCACTTTTAGGTGGGAGCGAAGTGACTCCGGGTGCTCTGCTGAGTTCGATGAGAGGACAAACGCCGAAGAAAAGTGTTACTTAAGGCACTTTATCGAGAACACATCTCTCTCCTCCGCCCTGCTTTGTCGCTGCCAACACCCCAGAGAGTGAACGCTGCTTTTAGCGGCTCCCCCTCCTCTTCCCAGAGATAACCTGACTTTTACGGACTTGGCCTCTGGACTTTTTTTTTCTTTCTTTTTTTTTTTTTTCTTCCTGCTGCACTTTTACTTCAGAAAGAACATAAAAGCTGTTTTTCTGTCCTGCCACTTCCCGGCTACCCGCGGGCTGCCGGCCCCGCTGCCCCGCACGGAGGGAGGATGGAGCAGAGGATGCTGCCCTCGGAGCGCAGCGCGGGGCGACCTGTGTTCTAACTTAGGAACGGGGGAAAGGGAAAGGGAAAGGGATTGTACCTAATAACGGGCGTGAAACGCTTCCTCCGTGTACCAGGGGGCATTTCCCCTCCTTCATCACGCGGAGAGCCTAAAGGATCAAAGTCTTGGCTAGAGGATAAATGGGAGCATGATGTAATGCCCCATCAAAAGCCTTGAAAATGATCCTGAATCCGGAAAACGATACCTTGGCCGAGGTCGCGCTAATCAGAGGTTTGGTGGATATGAGAGGAATCCGTTTTGCACAGCTTCTTTGGGTGTAAATCCGAAGTCGAGGCTCACTCTCAGTTCACCCAATGGCACTTCCCATTGCCTGCACGAACCAAGGTGCAGGCAAAGATGATCTGAGAATTTGGCCATTCCTTTATTTCCCAGCCCCCCTCTCTGCCCCATCCCGACATTAAAAGAGACGAAGTATTCATTCTACATCGCCTTTAACCGGCTGAGGAAGAGGTGGGTGCGGAAGGTGAGATTTTGCCATTGTGGCTTTTGAGACCGGGTACGATTTTCTCCTTTGTTTAAAGAAATTCTGCACTTTCTCCCATTAATCTTTAGCAGGGAAAGCGTTCAGCCCGCACCTGTATAAACAACCCGGACTACGGGGGGGGGGGCATAGGGGGAAGTAAACCTATATCTCTTCCTCTGCAGTACCTTTAAATATATATATATACATATACATATATGTTTGTATCGATATATATGTATGTATATAGGGGTAATGTAGGCGAACTAGGGAGGCCAAGCAACCCCCAAGGCTGGCGTGCTCCCCTTTCTCATTGCCAGCGAGAGCATCTCAGTGTCAACCCGAGTTCAAGAGATCCAGTTGCAGGACCAGCCGCGTGTTTCGGCGCTTCAAGCAATGTCAAGTTTCCCTTGGAAGGGTTGCTCCCAACCCTGCTCTGATGTGGTTCTGGCCCCAGCGGGCGAAGCCGAGGTTTACACAGCGTTAAGTGGCCGCGGGCCGCGGAGCGCTGGGCGAAAGCACGGCCGCGGGTGCCAGGAAAGTCGCTCTGCGGCAGCGGGAAGGTTCCACTTAACTCGGGAGGGAAATGTAAGGGAAAAAAAAAAAAAAAAAAAAACGGGAGCGAAATTTCGGGACAAGATCTTTCCACCTGTTGTAGTCATTAGGTTCTTTTCTATTCTGTGCAGTGGAACTGTTATTCTGCTTAACTGCGCGCAGACAGGGCCGGGAGGGCAGCGGGGAAGCAATGTGTTGCTTATTCATCCTGGGAAGAGGCGGTGTCAAGGGCGCGGGAGGGATGCACCTCGGGGGCTCTTCTCGTATCCCCCTGTGGAACGTTCATCCGAGCGTTCACCCGTCCTTTCCCCCGCGGGGATCTCCCGCAGAGCCCGATACCCCGCAGCCCACCGGGCGGCACCGCGCCCCTCCGCGCGGCGCCGCTCCGGGAGTTGCGGGAGGCACCGCCCCACCGCGGGGCTCGGCCGGGGGCTGCCCCCTCCTCCTCCCCCCGGCCCGGCCGCCTCTCGGCCCCGCGGCCGCCGCTATATAGCGCTGTGCGGGGGCGCATCCCCCCGCCGCGCCCCCCGCGCCCCCGCACGGTCTCTCCGCGGCGGGGCCGCCCCGCGCTGCCCGCAGCCGCTTCGGCCGCCCGCCCTGCCTCCGCCGCCGCCGCCTCTCCCCCCAGGGGCCATGTCCGCGGGCTCCGGGAGCGAGACAGAGGAGCTGCCCGAGATGGACCTGCGGGCGCTGCAGCTGGACTACCCGGCGGCGGGCAAGAGGCAGCCCCGTGGCGAGCTCTACCCCTCTGGGGACAACTCCTCGGCGGCGGAGGAGGAGGAAGAGGAGGAGGAAGAGGAGGAGGAGGAGGAGGACGGCGAGGGCAGCTGCGCGGCGGGGGCGGCGGGCTGCAAGAGGAAGCGGGCGAGGGGCAGCGGTCCCGGGGGCAAGAAGGCGCCGTCGGGGCCGCGGGGGCCGGCGGCAGAGGGGAAGCAGTCGCAGCGCAACGCAGCCAACGCGCGGGAGCGGGCGCGGATGCGGGTGCTGAGCAAAGCGTTCTCCCGGCTGAAGACCAGCCTGCCCTGGGTGCCGCCCGACACCAAGCTCTCCAAGCTGGACACGCTGCGCCTGGCCTCCAGCTACATCGCGCACCTCCGGCAGCTGCTGCAAGAGGACCGCTACGAGAACGGCTACGTGCACCCCGTCAACCTGGTACGGGATGCTGGCGGGGGAGCCCGGGAGTCCGCAGCGCTCGGGTCGAGCCGCTGTCCGGGCATTGCTGGCGGCGCTGCCCCGGGTGCCGGGTCCGGGCGGGTGCTGCAGGTCCGGGCAGTGGGGGGAACCCCGGAGAGGTCAATTCCTCGGGTATGAAGCGAGTGTTATGTCCGAGAAAGGAGCAATTCGCAGTCGAAAACCAAGCGCCCGCGAGGGTATGAAGTTGGCTCACGTAGCGTTTCCGAATAGTTTCTAAATCTTGTGTTTATAGAACGATGCAAACAGTCGCAAAGCGAGATGAGTGTTGCATGCCTGATGAGAACAATTTGTTGCACGTCGCATCATTACGTGGAGAGTTTCATTATAATGAAAATAACGTAATGAAAATATTTGTTAGAGGAAGTCAGCTTTCTCGGTGCTTCCCGCAGGGACTAAAACATGATGACGTGTTTGCAAGTGAAGTAGAATTAGACATCTATCAGTAATAAAGCTCTGGTTTCACACTACGATAAACTTTTTAACTCCAAATCCCTCTTTTTGCTTGCAGACTTGGCCATTTGTGGTCTCAGGACGACCCGACGCTGACACCAAAGATGTCTCTGCCGCCAGCAGATTATGTGGAACTACCGCTTAGCCAAAGTAATTTTTTTCCCTTGTCGATCTTTTTTTATGGGCTGGATCTTTTTAAGAGCTATGATTTTATCGGCTCAAGACCCAGAGATGGGGACCAACCCCCATCTCTATGTGTTAAATCTGTGTTTCCCCTCAGTTCTTTCCCTTAGAGCTCTGAGGGAAATCTATTTAAAGCAGTAAAGGAAGGAGACGCTGGAAAGGAGAGCTGTTATGAACTGTCTGCAGCCGCTGAAGTCTGAGATTTGGAAAAGCCCTTCTTGGGCTTTGCCATTTGTGCCGCTGCCTGAGGACCTGTTGTTCTGAGGCTGTTAAACTAATGGAAGAGGAACAGAATGTTATAGAATTAACAGCATGGACCAAAACGCAACTCTACAAACTAACCCCAAACAGTGTTATTTGTATTCTAAAGCAAAGCAGTATTTTAGAGTAGCTTTGAAACTCAGATTTATAATATATTTTGATGGCTTTTGTATTCACGGGTCGGGTTTACTGCAACTATGCAAGAAGTGTAACCATTCTTTGTTTTTGTCCTTTTAACCGGAGTTTTCTTGAAAATATGTAAGCAGCTACATTCTGCATTTAGGCTACCACCCAATGGAATGAAACTAATTCCTTTGGTTATGCCTCGAAGTGCCACATGTAACAATGTGGGACTGTCCCCAGGATGTGGCACAATTTCTACACCTTAATACGGAAGAGAAATTCTGCTCACTGAAAGGCCGGGGTGCATGCGCTGTAAAGAATGAATTGTGTGATGCTGCAATACAGCAAGGATTCACAAGGTGTTAAACATTTCTTCTACACCGCTACGCTTCCCTTTGATAAGTTGACCCTCAAATGAGTTCCAGTAATGTTTCTTCACTAATCCGAATGCTGTAATAAAAGGAGGATGCCATCAAATAAGTTGCAAATGTAAATAACTTTATTTTTTTATAAATGACATTAAAAGCTTGGTTACAGTGACTAACAGTACTGTGACAGTGTGTGGCTGCTTTAATGTAGGATAACCTTTGCAGTGCAGATCCTTGAAAGCCTATTCTGTAGGTATACCCTTCTCTTCCTTATCTCCTGAGAGCAGATACATCTCCAACAGCAGACAAGGACACTTTCACCCCAACCTGCTCACATTAGGTACAGCACTATGATAATCATCAGAGAAAAACACAATTTAACACCCTATGGAATTTATTATCATAATCTTTTCTTTGAACCAGGAAAATAAATGCAGATATGAAAATTATTTCAGTCATTTGCTCTATTTCACAGCATGAAAGATAGAGCAACAGCTCCTTTGCAGTTCATTAATTTCCCTTTTCCATCTACAGTTTTGCTTTTATTTGTGTTTGTGCAGTGGGATAAGCAGCGGAGTTGTTCCAGTTGGAAGCAGACTTTTCCTTCTTTAAGACCAAAACACCCGAGAGAAGGCTTTCTTCTGCTCCAAATATTTTCTCAGAGGTTACTTCATTGTAAGGGAGAGGGCTGAATTGCTCTGGAGAAGAGAAGGCCTCCTCTACTTCATTTAAGCAGCCAGGAAGGAGAAGCATTTGCTTAACAAGTATGAGTTTAGCCTAGTTTCGGATCATCTCACATTGCAAATTTCTGTTTTCAAGAACTGTCTAGAAGCCCAGGACTGGCTTTCAGTAATATCTGTCATACAGATGAAACTGCAGAAAAGTGTTATTTTCCCTGAAAGATATGAAATAGTCTATAGCCACTGAGCAACAGAATGAGAGCTTAATCCAGGATCTGCTGAAATTCTTTTCTGTGATTTGAGGGCAAGTTGTACTGAAACAGCAGCCCAATTTATCTTTTAGTTTTACCCAGAGAGGCTGTGAAGAAAGGGGTATCCTAAGTGGTAGCTGTGCCACTGAGGGAGGACCCCAACCAATCGTATCTATAAAGCTACATAAAAAGAAAACAATATGAACAGTAAATCAAAAAGGAAGGACTTATAGAAAAGCATAAGGTATAAGAAAACTCAACTAATGTTTATCTGAACCCCAGAGAAAAGATTATTCAGCAGTTTAACTGAGGTGCCACTTGAGATCATCTGAGTTGTGATACCGAGCTGTTTTTGGCCTTGATCCCAGCTGTAATTGGGTAACGACTCCAGGAGATCGGAAAAACAAGGAAAGCGTGGAGAACTTTAAACAGTATAGAAAGGTCCATGTGAAATGATGGAAAAAAATGTTCAGGGTAAATTCCCAAATATGAAGTAGGTTATATTAAGTAAATACAGTAGGCCAAAATAGGGGGCGAGGAGTGTGACATGAAGGAAAACATATTATTGCTTCCATCCGCGCACCATACTACATGCTCTTGTGATTCTTGTGTGTGTTTGAGGCTACAAAGTATATAAAAAAAAAACTTTCTTTGCAAAATAATGAATGCACTTACTGTCTTTGATGCTGTAAGAGATGCATCGATACAATGGTGGTGCCCTGATGGACTATCACCAGTTTTAGAATAGAAATACTCAACATTCACTGTTGAGATTTAAAGACAAAATCAGGAGAGAAAAATGTAGCTTTTAGTAAGCCTCATGTCTTTGTTTCAAATGCCTCTTCATAGAGATATGTGTCAGGGTATAATTACTTATCTTAATATAGCAATTAAGCACCTTTGAGTTTCTCTAATGAGGATGGATTCTGGTATTTCAAATCATTCATTTTAATCCTTGGTTTCATAAATATTTTTTGCAAAAAGTACAACAAGGTTTCTTCTTGTACCTCAGTGAGAGGCATTATTTGATTAGGAAGAAAAGAAGCAGACGCACTCCTTGTGGATTTGTCCTGAGATGAGGGTTCAGAGAAATGCCAGGCAAGCCATGTGTTCTGGCATGCCTCACTTTCAAAATTACACACAAATGCACACACACATTATTTTTTAACTCGCAAACAGACGAAATTTAGATCCGTGCTTTTTGATCAAGATACTCTTTTTAAGCATTAGCAGATTCCACAGGAAGATAATGTGTTGTGGCTCTTTATTTTTTTTAATTATGTTTTTGCCTACCTGATTGAGTAAGTTCATTTGGTTTTCAAAGTTTTAGTGTTTCAACTGGATGTGAGCTATGTAACCGGATGAAGGGAGAATTTAAATGAAAAACCGTCTTGTATTTCTGCAGTTCACAAACATGGAAGCAAGCAGTCCACATACATTTATATTTGACAAGTATGTGTTCGATGAATATTTTGTTACATTAATGACATTTGTGGTCTTTGGCAGAAGGCACAAGGGGAACCCATCTTGTTTCCATAAAGGCATACAAATTTGGCTAGCACTGTTTTACAAATAAAATGCCATCATATGAATGCAATTCATATTCAGCTGAGACCTGCTTCGTGTGCAATCTTAAATGCAGAGTACCTGCACTGACTGTCCTGGCAGACAATCAGGAGGAACATATGTTTCCCAAAAGTATTTTTATGACTTTAAATTTGTATAAATGTTGTGTGAAATTTTGTTTTGCGTCTACTTTACATGACAGAGCAGATCATCAGCCAGAAAACTTGTGTCTCCAATGCAAATCCATTCCTTTCCAATACACGTGTTTGGTTACATAAGGAAAATACATCTCCTATACTGGAAATGCCAACAATTCTGAGTATAAGAAACATAGTTTGCAATTAAGGAATACCTGACCCATACATTTCCCATTTAATAGCTTTATACACAGACTGTTTTAAAACCTCCCAGCCATGCTATGGATTCTGAACAATGATTCATTTTCCCAGTTCAGTAGAGACAACTGTTAGAAGTACAGTTGCAATAGAGGTCTCCTGGATGAATGAGGGAGAAATTCTTTTTAAGATCTCATTAACTATCTTGAAGTTAATTGGCTGTAGAAGGACCCTAATGTGACCAGTTGGAAGATTTGGCTGAATATCTAACCTTTTAGTTAACCATCCAAAACTGGGTAGGATAAACCCAGGTTTAAATGATTGAACTTCATATGAGCCAAGCAAGATAAAAAGAAGGAAGAACTGGGTTGTGGAGCTACCCACTTGTGAGCTTATAATATAACCAAATAATAGTTGCATTATTTGAATGAAACTGCATGGAAAGCTATCAGTTCTACTGGAGAACAGACACTTCCTCCACAAGAAGCTAATTCTACATTACAATACACATGGATTTGATGTTGCAGCACAGATTCTCACCAAGGCTAATGGTAATTATGTCTAAGAATTATGTTCCATTACTGAGAAGTCTTTACTACTCTCCATTCTGAGAACTGAGAGACTTGTATACAGACCAATGCACAGAGGGTGGATGCTGAGCTGACTCTGTAACTTTCTAACTGTTTGACCTTTGCCCATTCAAGGAAAAAATCATTCGGTAGTCAGTGCAAACTGTGGGGAATCCTTAGGAAACAGTTATTTTAACAACTGAAGATAATAATTTCAGAAAGATTACTAGGAATGTGCACTATTTTCAAGTGTCTGAAATATTTAGGAGAGTAAATTCTGTGATTTTCAAAAAGATTTTCTTCCCTAAGTTTAAAGCAGATTTTTAATCAACTGAGCAAAAATGCTTTCACACTGGGACTCCGAAAACATGGGTATAGTCAAAAATTATTTGTGTGTTTTTTGAGAAATATATGCATTTAAGAACATACTTGTTATAGAAATTGATATTCGTAATATATTCTGACAAGAGTGCACTGGGAAGTCTTGTGTCTCCACAGTGCAGGCTCACTAAGATTCAGGTTCTGAGAGGAAATAGGTCTCAGTTTCTTCACTGGTTCTGAACAGCTTGCAAATTAATTATAAAAGTAATTTTTAAAATGCCTTTTTCGGAATGCAGCATGAGAATTCTACCAGAGTTAAAATTCCTAGTAAAGTTTAGACAGCTGATCTAAGTGTTCCTGCTCCAGCAGGGGGACTAGACTAGATGACATTTTGAGGTCCTGTCCAATCCCTGACGTTCTGTGTGATTCTGTGTGATTCATATAGAATCATCCAGCCAGACAAATAAAACTGAGAAAACCTACTGGCTTTTCCATCACTTCCGTAATGCTGGTGCTGGTGGTCTGAGAGGGTCTGGGACAAGAAACATGCTATTTGAAGAACTATAATTAATCTTGATGATGTGATTGGAATTTAGCAACCAGAGGAAATCACTTAATCCTCTCTTGCTGGTGGAACTGTTTAAAAGAACTAAAATTTCCAGCATCGAAAAGAATTCATAATGTTGCAAGTGTTCCAAGACAACAAAACAGGCGGAGCTGAAAATCTGAAGATATGAACAGGCACAAACCCAACCCAAGGAAACTAATTGCTCAGCATCTGGAGCAAAAAGTTGCAAGAGCAGCAAAGGATTGCATCACTTTGTAGGAGTTTACAAAGTTCAGTGTAGTGACCACAGACAACGTGTACACAGTGGATAGAAAACAGCAGCATTAGCTTATAGGAATTTTCATAGGAACAACAAGAATAAGCTACATGGATAAGAATTCTGAAAACAAATTGATTTTTTTTTTTAAATTATTCTGATTTGCTGTGATGGAAGAAGGAATGGTATTAACACTGTAAATCCTAGTCAGTAAAAGGCAAAATTCAGGCCAGTGGAGGGCCACAAAGATGATAAAGGGCCTGGAGCACCTCCCTTAAGAGGAAAGGCTGAATAACCTGGGTCTGTTCAGCCTGGGGAAAAGAGGACTAAGGAGATCTGATAAAAGGGAGGTGGGAGGCAAATGGATGAGGTCAGGCTCTTTTTAGTGGTACGTAGTGATAGGACAAGGATGGCCTAAAACTCGAACATAGGATGTTCTGTATTAACATGCAAAAGAACTTCTTAATGGCAGGGTGACAGAGCACTGCAACAGGCTGCCCAGAGAGGTTGTGGAGTCTCCTTCTATGGAGATACTCAAGACCCATCTAGATGCTTACTTGTATGACTTATTGTAGGGTACCTGCTTTAGCAGTGGGGTTGGACTCAATCTCTTCAGGTCTCTTCCAACACTTGCAGTTCTGTAATTCTGTGATTCTTACTAAAATGTACCTTTCATGAGGGGAAATTGTGATTAAATGTTAGATGGAAATTTTTCACTCAGAGGGTGATGAAGCACTGGCACATGGATGCCTCATCACAGAAGTTATTCAAAACCAGGTTAGATAGAGACCACGGCAGCTTGATTCAATGGGTAGCAACCCAGGCCATGGCAGGGGATTGGAACTAGATGATCTTTAAAGTCCCTTCCCACCCAAGCCATTGTATAGCTTGCAGTAAGGATAA